GATAGAATCATAGGTATTTTGGCAGATTTTGAATAAGTCATATTGACCCAACTGTGAAAAACTCGGCGCCTCGGTGGGATTCGAACCCGCGCAGTAAGGAGAAGGCTTTAATACAGCCAACGCTCTAACCACTTGAGCTATGAGGCATCGCCGGACAACTCGAGTTTAATCGCATTTGGGTCAAGTTACCCTCCCACCCTACTGCAACGTCTGGAATCCACCAGATCTGATACAGTAAGTTGACTGCCCAAGCAGGATTTCCTAAGTAATTCACCTAGAATCCACCAGATGACTACCAGGCTCATGCTATTCATAGGCGGATTTTGAATAATTTATATTGACCCAAATATGAAAAACTCGGTGGAATTCGAACCCACGCAGTAAGGAGAAGGCTTTAGTACAGCGAACGCTCTAAAGCCTTCTCCTTACTGCGTGGGTTCGAACCCAACTGAGGCGCCGAGTTTTTCACAATTGGGTCAATATGAACAGGATAGATTGTCAACAAACGGGGTTTACCAGATAGAGCATTAACACTTCATCAGACCGAAGTTCATCATTGCCTCACACTTGACACTATCTGTCGCTGATAGTCGGTTATTTATTTATACAGGAATGGTTTTCCGAAATGAAACATGGGAATTCCAAGAAAATTAGTTAGGCACGAACCTAATTTTTTCGAAAATTAAAACGCTAACTGTAAAGAATTCCGAGATCGTTCCCTTAACTCGTCGTCAGCCTCGTGTTTAATTCGGAAAAAAAGCAGCTGAATTCTGTGCCCCACCTAAGACTGTCTCACCTTTTAACTGTCTCCGCCTTAAGTATACTCCATTTATCGACTGTTATTCACAAATTTTCTAACAACCCATCCAAATTTATTCACGAAATATCATAACCGCCTTTGTGTTTTCTACAGCACTTTGCTACAGCAGTTATTTCTTCTCTTCAGGAGACATTGTGAGCATAATTCAGAAGAGTAGCGCTGACTGGTGGATTGGCGAAGCCGGCGGAAAACGAGGACGTTTTCCAGTTTCATTTATTGAAGAATTTTGATCTCTCTTTGACTCTCCTAAAAACCTCTTCTGCTCGCAATTCTACTCCCCACCCACCCAACTCACTTTCGCCATTAAACCCCCTTGTCGCCACAATCTGTTCGGCCTCTGCGATTGCTTTTAACCTACTTATTTACATTTGCCTGTTCCGGGCGTCTATAGACCTTGGATACTTTGCGTTCTGCTTTTTCACTACTCTATCCAATCACATTCTTACTGCGCCAACTTAATTGACACTCTACCCCCCCTGACTTTCGTCTTCTAGTTCGCCATTTCCGGGGTTGGCCACCGCTATCCCCTGACCTGTTTATCTCCTATCTCTCACACCTTGGACATCAGGCAGAACTAATATATACTTGAATGCCGATCCGAGCGGACAGGGGACTTTCAATTGAGACGAAATTACTAACGGGCTGTCTACTTGTTGCGTACAGGAGGTTTTTTTTAACAAAAATACCATAATCTTTCTTAAGAGAAGGTAATTTTAGAAGGCCGAGTCCTCTCGTAGTGAGTGTTGCGTCCGTTTTTTTTACATCCTCAGTCTGCGTCAGTCGAATCTGGTCTGCGCTTGCGAGGTTCAGGTGGTGCTATTGACACTTATCAGCCGCAATATGTCTGTTTGGCATATTCTGGGGAGTTTGTTGCCAGTTGATAATGATGAAAAGTATAGGCAAGT